GCTTATCTTGGCAGACGTTTATGTCCCGCAGTGGCATCCTTGGCTTTAACTTTTCATTGATTCATCCTTTTCTAATCACCTGTACTGCTTTTATAATTTGATTAAAATTTATTTAAGAAGTTATGTTCTGTATTATTTTTAAAAAAGGTTTCAAGTGGGGCTCCTGGGGGGCTCAGCTGGTTAAGCCTCGCCTTTTGGCTCCGCTCGTGACCCCAGGGTCCTGGGATGGAGCCCCGCATCGGGCTCCCTGCTGGGCCGGAGCCTGCTTCTCCCTCTGCCATTCGCTCTGCTTGTGCTCTCCGGCTCGCTCTATCTATCAAGTGATAAAATCATTAAAAAAAAAATGTTTCAAATGTCTTAGTTTTCTCTCAGCAGTTTTAAGACCCAAAAGGGCAGGAACTGTGTAGTGGGCTTCATTGACATGTCTTTGCAAGGCATACTTCACCTAAATTGAAAATTGATAGTTTAGTTGTTTATTCTAAAACTTACCTTTATCTAATCATACATACATCTGGTTACCAGAGGAATTACGTATAATATCCAGAAGGTATAACTGCCTAATTTTTCATCCTACTTTAATAACACACAAAAACTGTTCTCTTGTAAAATTCTCCTCCTCATGTTACTCATGTCACAAATTACATCTTTATCGCTTCATGCCCAATAACATAGACTTATTTTTTTTTATGCATTTGCCTTTTAAATCTGTAGCAAATAAAAAATGGAGCAGTAAATCAGATAATAATACTGACTTTTGTAACTGTCCATGCACTCACTTTGTCAGAGAGCTTTGCGTCTTCACGCGGCTCTGTGTTACCGTGTCCTATGTTTCCTTTCAGCCTGGAGGACTCCTTCAGCCTTTCTTCCTGGGCAGACCCGGTGTTAACAAACTACTTCAACTTTTGTTTATCTGAGAATGTTTTAGTTTCTTCTTCAGTTTTGAAGGACAGTTTTGCTGGATAAGGAATTCTCAGCGGACAGTTGTTTCTTTCAGTGCTTTAACGATACCTGCTCCTGCCTTCCTCGTCTGTAAGGTTTCTGGTGATAAACTGGCTGATACGCCTACTGAAGAGCTCTTGCACCTTACAGGTGGCTTTTTTCTTGCTGCTTTCAAGATTGCTTTGCTTTTCAACAGTTTGATTGTAATGTGTCTTGGTGTGGGTCTCTGTGTTTATCCTACTTGAAGTTTGTTGAGATTGTGGACTTGTAAATTTGTGTCAAAATTGGGAAGTTTTGGGCTACCGTTTCTTCAAATAGTCTCTCTTGCCCTTCCTTTGTGGGGGCTCCCACGATGAGTGTGTTGGTCCACAGGGGACATAGATGATGTCCTGTAAGTCCTTCAGGCTCTGTTCACTTTTCTCTGGTTTGTTTTTTTTGTTTTTTGTTTTACTCCTCTAGATAATTTCATTTGTCCCCTGTTTAAATTTGCAGATTCTTCTGACTACCCAAGTCTGCTGTTGAAAACCTTCTAGTGAATTTTTCTTCAGTAACTATACTGCTGTTCAGCTCCAGAATATTTCCTTTTGGTTCTTTCTATAAATACCTGACTCTTTGTTGGTATTGTCATTTTCATTTTGTTCATATATCATTTTACTGGTTAACGTTAGTTCCTTGTCCATGTTTTTCCCTTGTTCTTTGAGGACATTTAAAAATGTTGTTTTAAGTCTTTGTGGAGTAAGTCCCATCTCTGAGCTTTCTCGGGGGTAGTGAATTTTGTTCCTTTGAGTGAGTTGTGTTTTCCTGTGTCTTGGTTTGCCTTGTGATTTTTGTTGCCGAGAACTGGGCATTTGATTTTATGTGTGTAATGTCTTACTGTTTTGAGGCTTTCCCAGATTATTTTTGTAAAGACTGTCCCTTGTCATATGTGTGTTCATTGAAGTCTTTGTGCTTTTAGCTGGTGTTAGCAAATGTTTTGACAGAGATTTCTGTTAATGCCGGGCACTCAGACAGACAGTCCAGACACCTTCCTCCCCGAAGGAAACAGGAGAGAGGCTACAACTACCCTTTCTAGTGTTCATAGACTGGCTCTTCTGAAACAGCCCCTCACTGACTAGCTCAGTGTGCTCGGAGACTTGCGGATCAATCCACGGTGAAAGCCTCAGGTCTTCCCAGGACTGTTCTGAGCGTCTCTCTTGCCTGGGTGTGGCTTTTGAAATTTCCCATATATGTGACTGCTATTGATTTCCCTGATTTCCCAGAGTTTCGCCCTAGCTTTTGTGGGCTTCAGACAGTCCTTTATTTACTTTATCTTTTTTTTCTTTTTAAAGATTTTAATTATTTATTTGACAGAGATCACAAGCAGGCAGAGAGAGAGGGGAGAAGCAGGCTCCCTGCTGAGCAGAGAGCCTGATGCGGGGCTCGATCCCAGGACTCTGGGATCATGACCTGAGCTGAAGGCAGAGGCTTTAACCGAGCCACCCAGGCGCCCCTCTTTTTTTTTTTTCACACTTTAAACTGAAATTTTTTTCAATTTTTAAAGATTTTATATTTTTATAAAATATGAGAGAGTGAGAGAGCACAAGCAAGGGGGAGGGGTGGAGGGAGAAACAGATTTCTCGCTGAACAGGGAGCCTGACTCAGGACTCGATTCCAGGACTCTGGGATCATGACCTGAACTGAAGGTAGTTGCTTAACTGACTGAGCCACCCAGGCACCCCTTTTCGTTGTTTTCTTGATATTTCTGAGGGGAATGAAAGCTTGGAGATACTTAGTTCCCCATTTTCCTTGATTTTTTATAACATTTTAAATGAGAACGTTTTCTAAGCTGTTATTAAATTGTTTTTCTAATAATAGGGAACTACTGATAAACTCTTACTGGATGTAACTTTTACAGAAATACAAAACTTGATTGCCCAAACCAATAAAATGCAAATTAATGACATTCATTTAGTCTGGCAGGTGATGTTTTATTGGAACTAAAGCTGCATTGCCAGATACTTGTGTTAGTAGTTTCCCAGGGTTTCTTCAGCCTGAGCTGCTGAACGCCACATGCACAACTTGCCCATGACTTTGCTGGTGTGTTTCTATGGCATACCTGGTATCGCTTGGCCCTCACCAGGCATGAGTGAGTTTGGGACACTTTTTTTTTTTTTTAATATTTTATTTATTTATTTTACAGAGAGATAGAGGGCACAAGTAGGTAGAGAGGCAGGCAGAGGGAGAGGGAGAAGCAGGCTCCCTGCTGAGCAGGGAGCCTGACGCGGGGCTCGATCCTATGACCCCAGGATCATGACCTGAGCCAAACTGAGCCACCCAGCTGCCCCTGATGCTGGGACATTTTAAATCCAACTCTTTTCTCAACATAGCAGGTCAGTTAAAGTATTGTAGCATAGTGCCGCCGTGCTCCTCAACTTATGTACAAATGTGGGCATGTCTTTAAGATTTTGTGTTTACATCTTTTTAAATTAAATTATTTACTTGAGAGTGAGAGAGTGTGCACGAGTGTGGGGAGAAGCAGAGGGAGAGGGACAAGCAGATTCCACGCTGAGCACGGAGCCTGACACGGCGCTCGATCTCATGACCCTGAAATTATGACCTGAGCTGAAATCAGAAGGTGGATGTTCAAGGGACTGAGCCACCCAGGTGTTCCTGTGTTTGCGCCTTTTAATCCTTTTAGAGCACATGCAGATTCCGAGGCCAGTACAGACCCCAGTTTGAGGTAGTTGATGGGACCAGTGCTGAGACTTGCTGTTCGCATGCTTTCCTAGAGGCATAAAGAGGGACCAGCGTGTGGGGTTGGGAGATGGTCGTCCTGCCTAGTTGGGGGGATGATCTTACAAAGGTTGGTGCCATTGGGAAAGCATGGCTAGAAGTCATGACAGATCGGCAAACGCAGGCCGTGCTGGGGTTGTTTGGTTGGGTTCCGTGGATGGACTAGAGAAGGTGAGGAGGGAGGCATGACAGTAGGAGGCGGCTCTAGAGCTGGCCTGGCGCCAGAGTGCGAGGACTTCAGAGGGGTATTCAGGTTCTGATCTGAGTATTTTACTTACTGTCCTCATGCCAAGTCTTTAAAACAGCTGTTTTGGCCCCGCTTTACAAATCAGAAAGCTCCTAACACAGATGAGATGATATTCCAAAGCTTATGCATGTAGTCAGCATAAACCGAGCCTCACACCTGGACCATAACCTGGACTAGGAAGGGTTTTGGGAACTTTCAAGGGACTTCGTGCTGTTGGCCTGGTGGGTGTTGATTTTCTTTTTTTCTCTCATTTGCTTTTTCCTTTGTCTTAGTGAGAATTTATAGACATCTGTGCAAGTGAAAATAATAAAGTAAACCTGATGTGCCCATCGTGACCTTGAAAAGCCCTCCCTTCCCCCTCCATTTTGCTACTGGTATTTTATCTCTTCCTTCCCTATACACACACACTTTTAATGTATTTCCTTCTTGACTTGCTGGGGTGTTTGAGAGCAAATCCCGACTGTGCACCGTTCACCATGAACACTGCCGTGTGTGTCCCTTGTGGACGCCGTTGTGGTGTCACGCCTCGCAGGTACCCCTCTGTACCTGCGGTCTTGGTTCTCAGAGCCGGGAGTGAGCTGCAGCTCCCGCTGCCTGTACACTCGAAAGAACATGTCTTTGTTGTCGTTTCTCCTTGGGGAACAAACACGCTAACCCTTGGGTTGCCGTCATCCCATGGCATGCAATTCAGAGAATGCGGAAACAGCGTGGAAAACGCAGCAGTCTGGAATGTCTTGTTCTGGCTGGGATAACAATTGTAGGGATTTTTTTTTAATTGAATTTATGAGAATAGGAAAAATACTACGAAAATTTTGTATTCTTCTTCTGAGGCTTTGGATTCCACGTGGCGTTTGGTCTCTAGTGTGTGGCGGAGGACGGCTGCTCACCGGGGCCTGTGGTAGTTCGGGTTTTGGATTTGAGTGGCAGGGACATGTGACTGCTGTGCAAGGGGTTATTTTTGGTGTCTGGGTGTCGGCCTCTCGTCAGAAGTCACAGCAAGTTAGCGCGAGATGCACTTGGGAGGCACCTCCGAGCACGGCAGGCGTGGCTGCGTGAGCTTTTCAACTTTCGAACATGGGTTGTTGCTTCAGCAAAGAAGGAAGCAGTGACAGGGACAGCGAAAAAGCTGGCCTGTTGCCGGAGTCTGTGGAGGAGGCGGAGTCGGGGCACCAGATAAGTAAAGCTTTGTCTTCATTATTTGATACCCTTGAAGGTGAGGGGCTGCCCGGTGTCCGACATGGAGGCGGCGGCCGGGCGGCTGCCGGAGCCGCTCTGTGGGTGAGGGCTTCCGCGAGCCCGGGGCCCCCGCGGGGGCTGCGGCTGAGGCTGTCGTCGGACTCTGTGTCCCCTCCCGTGCCCCAGTTCCTGCCTCGGTCTGAAAGCTTCGAGGAGAGAGAGACGAATTCAGAAGCCATTGCTCTTGAGCACGGTTGTGGCCGTGTCTCGGTCACTCGCCGCGTGAGCTCTGTCGGGGAACGGGGTGTCTCTGAAGACGTTTGTCCCAAAGGTGACGAGGCTCTGTCTTCCGGCCAGGGCGTGCAGGGAGGCGCCCACGTAGGGGGCCGTCTCGGTCATCCCCCAGCCGCTCGCATAAACGCCCTCACTGAGCACGACAGGGCGGTAAACGTTCAGCTCCCAAGTGACAGTAGCTCTTCAGACAGGTCTGGCAGGGGGGTGACGGGCAGACACCCTGTTTGCGGTGGTCACCAGGCACATGGGGCTTGGGGAGAGAGCGAGTTGTACAGTATCTGTGTTGTAGATCCTGACGGCCTGGGCCTCGCTGAGGAGCTGTGTGCCCCCGTGTGTGGTGCAGCTGCTGGGGAAGACAGTCGCTCAGCTGTCACCTCTGAGGGACTTCGCAGAGGGGCCCGGCCGCCGGGGAAGGCTGCCCAAGGCCCAGGACAGTTAGCTGCCCTGCAGGAAGAGCGGTCCCCACGGGGCATGCCCAGCCCGAATGAAAGGAAGGAGGTTTTTAAGGAAAATACCAAACCCGGTTTGGAACTAATGACTGTGTCTTTAAGGGCTCTCGCTTGCCCTGGGTTCCCCCGAGACTGCACAGAAAGCAGCGCAGTATGTAATGCGGGCGCACTCCCTGCACTTAACCGTAACGTGGGCACTAGCTCGCCGGGACGTGTGTGTGCCCTCCCTGAAGGAAGTGAGAACTGTAGTCTAGAACAGGTAAGCCCCACGGGTGACTCGCGCGTTGATTCACTAACCCACCCTTCAGAAACGGAGAGAAATGGTGACTCTGGAGCTGTAGCAGCGAGCGTAGGCCAGAGCTTAAACTCTGAAAAGGAAAGAGAAGATAATTCTTTGAGACCACTGAAAGACAGTGATTACTTCCGCTTTGATGTTAGCAGGCCAGAAGGTAGTCTCCTTCCCCAGAGTCTAGATAGGATTCATCCGATCCGGGAAAGCTGTGTCCCTTGCCTGAGCCTTAGAAACCAGCGTCTTCCAGTTCATGCCAGTTTCCGAGAAGTAGCCTCTAACGGACCCGGTGATGCTGGACCAGCCCGCCTGCTGACACCAGCCATGGCCGGGGGGCAGCAGCCCGGCGTCTGCAGCCTGAGACCTGGAAGCATCCAGCCTGTGAACAAAGCACACTTGTCTTTGCAATCTGAAAGGAGTTCATCTTACCCAGATAAGGATAAAATGAGCATTTTTGAAGAAGAGGGTCATGGACAGAGGGCTTTCGAATGGAGACCTTCACATCAGGTGGCAGACCTGTGCGCAGACCTTGGGGTCAGCCCAGCCCAAGCACAGATCTGCAGTGTAACTGCTGCGCCGTGCAAGACGGGCACGGAAGGGGTGTTCCCCACAACGGGCACCCCAGAACTCGGAAGCTCCCAGGAAGTGCCCCCAGATGGCAAGTCTCTTGACGGCTCCGGCTGTTTTCAGGGTAGCTTTATCTCCTCTGTGTTTGCTTTCGCCGGCCCAGAAGAACGTGAAACGGGCCCGTGTGTCAAAACGGAAGATGAGGTGTGTGTGAAGAGCACAGTGAGCGACCGGCCAGGGTCAGGAGGTGCCCGAAAAGAGTCACTGAAGGCCAGTCCGAGAGAGACCCGTGAGGATGACAGAGGAGATGTGAAGTCAGACTCGGAAACCACCTCCTGCTGGGAGACGGGCGCAGCCCCCCGCGGGGCGGCCAGCGGGCCCGCGGACTCCACGGCGCCACCTGGTGGCAGCAGCCGCTGCACGCGGGAGGGTGGCGCGGCCGGAGCCCTGAGTGCCTGCAGACGGGAGGGCCCGGGTCGCGCACCGCCTCTGAGCCAGGGTTCGAGTCCGGGCGAGCAGAGGTCACAGGCAGGAGAGGCGGACTCTGCTCACAGCCGTGAAGAAGCAGGACTGCAGCAGGTTTGCTCAGACTCTGCTGAGGAGCGCGCGGATGCCTTAGGGGGTGGCGCGACGGGGATGAGCACGCGGGCAACAGCAGGTCGGGGGGCGAGGGACAGCATCCACGTGTGCCGGGTGAGCACACACGCACGCCACGTCGGGCAACGCCGTGCCGGACCCGTGCCCAGCGGCCCTGCGTGGAACGGCGGAGTGGACTTTGTGGGAAGTCCACAGGTGACTGTCCGAGACCTGGAACTGGGGGAGACCCTCGAGGCATGTTCCCGTGTGGCCCGAGTGGGCGGATGCACCGACCCCCCTCACGAGGTGCCGCAGGTGGTTCCCGTCACCGCAGGGGACAGTGCAGGAATAGCGCCCCACGGCAGGGCCCGTGTCGTCCCCCTCACAGGAGACGCTGTACATACACCTGCGAGTCCTGCAGGAGGGGACCTGCCCAGCTCCCCAGGGCCGTGGTGCTCCCCGTCTCTGAATGAGCCCGCCTGTTACCCAGTGGGAGCGTTTGCAAGTGCGACGTCTTCTGGGGGACTGGCCGATGGCTGCCAGGAGCACCCAGAGGGCTGCGCGTGGGGTCGCGCCGTCGGGAACGAGGCCTTGGAAGAGGAGCAGGGGCCCAGCGCGTGTCTGCCCGGGAGGCCGCCGGCCGTGGAGGCCGCTCTGTTCTGGCTGGAGAAGCCCCCGTACCGGCTGCCAGCGGCAGAAGAGGCTGTTCTCTGGGGATGGCAGAGTAGAGGTGGACAGTTAGTAAGTATGTTTATCGCTGTTCATTACTGGGGAGTGCTGGGGCTTCACTTTGATTGCTTTTAACTTCCATGAAGTTCTGTTCTAAATAATGGACAGTCGTTTGAATGTTTACGTCAGGCCGTGAGTTCTTGTAGCATCTGCTTAACCGTTTCCCACCTGGGGACCGTGACTCAGTTGACTGCGTGATATATTTGGGCCAGCGTTTGTGGGCCAGCTGTCGCGGGCACGTGTCCGGCCGTCAGACGCAGCTCGGTGCAGGCCTCTGCGCTGAGGGTGCGGCGGCTGCCCCGCAGGGCTGCCCTGCCCCGCCCGCTCCTTCCTCACGACCCCCTTGTCGGAGCGGAGCAAGCGTTTGTCCCGTGGTGTTTTAAAGTCCTTTGACAGAGGCCACACTCGGATGGTGGAGAAGACTCCAAGTCTGTGCTTCCTGCTCCACGTTTGCTGCTTTTCACTGGCGTGGACGTCCGTCTCGTGTCCGGAGAAGCCCTGCAGGCCTTGGCCACAGGGTGCTGGGTGCTGCTCCTTGGAGAGGCCGCAGGCGCCGCCGCAGCCCGCGACGAGCCCGACCACCACCAGACGCGCGGCCCGTCCTGCACTTCACGGTCCTGGACACGCGCGACTGAAGGGCAGACGTCTAACAGCAGTCTCGTTGGCTCAACCGGCAGTTTGTTTTGTCTATAAATTCAGTTTATTTACGCTATAAACCGGGGAGCCTGGTGGCTCAGTCGGTTAAGCCTCTGCCTTCGGCTCAGGTCATGATCCCCGGGTCCCAGGATCGAGCGCCGCACTGGCCTTCCTTCTCAGTGGGGAGCCTGCTTCCCCTCTGTCTGCGGCTCCCCCTGCTTCTGTGCTTGCTCTTTCTCTCTCTCACACACACGTAAAAAATCTTAAAACTAAAAAAACAGTTCACCCGGTTTCCCAGCCCCCCGCCACAGCCACCAGATTTGTTCCACGAGCTTGGCTCATTTGTTCGTTTTTAAATTCCGCGCAGAAGTGAGATCGTCGGGTGTCTGTCCGACGGGTCTCCTTCCGCCAAGAGCCCGGCAGCTCTGCCTGTGTCGTCCCGGGCAGCTGGCCTTCCTGGTCTCACTTATGACCAAGTGAGGTTGCGTCACGCTTTATACAGCAGCACACGCTGCGGTGGCTTCCGTGTCTTGGCTTCTGTAAATAATGTTGCAGGGGACATCCGGTGCGGATACTTTTTTTCAAATCGGTATTTTTGTTTTCTTCAGGTAAACATCTAGAAGTGGGAGTGCTGGATCTTACGGGTTTCTACTTTCAGGTTTTTTTTTTTTTTTAAGATTTTATTTATTTATTTGACAGAGATCACAAGTAGGCAGAAAAGCAGGCAGAGAGAGAGAGAGGAGTAAACAGGCTCCCCGCCCAGCAGGGAACCTGATGCGGGGCTCAATCCCAGGACCCTGGGGTCATGACCCAATCCGAAGGCAGAGACTCAACCCACTGAGCCATCCAGGCGCCCCTTACTTTCAGTTTTTTGAGGAACATGCATACTGTTTTCCAGAGTGGCTGCCCCAGTCTGCATTCCCCCCAACAGTGCACGGCCTCCCCTCTCAGCATCCTCACCAGCACTTGTTATTTCTTACCTTTTTGATGATAGTTTATTTACCTCTTTAAATTATTTATTTATTTATTTTAAATAAAGATTTTATTTATTTATTTGACAGAGAGATCACAAGTAGGCAGAGAGGCAGGCAGAGAGAGAGGGGGGAGCAGGCTCCCTGCCTAGCAGAGAGCCCGATGCGGGGCTCGATCCCAGGACCCTGAGATCATGACCTGAGCCGAAGGCAGAGGCTTTAACCCACTGAGCCACCCAGGCGCCCTTGATTTATTATTTTTTAAGAATTTCTGGATGCTCTGCTTTGAAAGAGTGGTGTTGGTCATTTATATAAAATATAAATATATTTATTTATTTATTTATATAAAATTTATATAAAATTACTTCAGGGATGGGGTCCCTGGGTGGCTCCGTGGGTTAAGCCTCTGCTTTCAGCTCAGGTCATGATCCCGGGATCCTGGGATCGAGCCGCGCATCAGGCTCTCTGCTCAGCGGGGAGCCTGCTTCCTCCTCTCTCTCTCTGCCTGCCTCGCTGCCTACTTGTGATCTCTGTCAAATAAATAAAATACTCAAAAAAAAAAAATTACTTCAGGGCATGGCTACTAAGGTTAGCTCACTTTTTTCTTTTTTTTTTTTTAAAGATTTTATTTATTTATTTGACAGACAGAGATCACAAGTAGGCAGCGAGGCAGGCAGAGAGAGAGGAGGAAGCAGGCTCCCCGCTGAGCAGAGAGCCTGATGTGGGGCTCGATCCCAGGATCCCGAGATCATGACCTGAGCTGAAGGCAGAGGCTTAACCCACTGAGCCCCCCAGGAGCCCCAGGTCAGCTCACTTTATAATAACCGCTGCTTAGCCATGAATTTTCGTTGGAAAAAGAAGGTCGCCAAGCAGGTGAAACTTGAGTTGTTGATGGATGCTTCGAGTTCCACATGACTTCAGGAGAAGACCCACACCTTAAAGAAATACAACAGACAAGTTATTTTTCATGTGAATTACAAGAAGGTAATGAGTTTTTGGTAATGTTTTGTTTTTGCTGATGTTAGAACAGTTTTCTAGTTACTGCCTTTGTGGACATGTTACCTAAGCTCCCTCTGCCATCGTTTTCTTCTTCCTGACACCCTCATGGGGTTGTTGGGATTCCGCTCAGGAAGGTACGTGAATGTGCCCGGCACCTAGCAGACTCGAGGTAGTTGTCATGTCATCAGCTCCTAAGTATATGTCTCCATCCTTTCATCCCTTGTCACTCAAGAGCATCACTTGGGTGCGGTTAACGGCCTACGATGGTGCCGAGTCCCAGATTCTTGACTTGCGGTGGAGTGTTTGCCACCGCAGAAGGGCCTTTCATAAGGGTAGGTCTCTTCTCATTCTGGCGCAAAATTCTTGTTCTTCAGTAGACATTCGTTCCTGGAGCACCTTTCGCAGGCACAACTGTACTGGGGTCAGGACTACGAGGCACTAGCAGTACCGTGGCGAGCGGAAGGGACGGGCTAGTGGGAAGGTCAAGTGTGTTGTAGCAGGGCGAGCCCTGCGCCGGCTCTGAGGCTGTTGCTTTGGGCGTGGCGTCCTGGTGTGACGGGCAGTCCGCGCGGGGGACGCCGCAGAGCAGGTAGCTCCGGAAGGTGCTCACGCTGGGAAGGACCCGTGTCCGTGGGCGGCAGGAACTGGAGTGTGTGCCTGAGGTCGGGGCCACTTCAGGGGGTTGAATACGGTAACGTGGGAAGGCTTGATGTGTGTTGGTACATGATGGAGAGTCCAGCGAGGAAAAGGCCTTGACACCAGCATTGGACTGGGAAAGAGAGAGGGAAGGAGTTCAAAACAAAACAAAATAAAACACAAAAAGCAGATGGAAAACGTGGAAATGCTGGGGGAGGGTAGTGATGTCTGTGAAACACGGAGTGGCCCGAGTCGTCCTCTGCTCAGGAGGGCAGGGTCGTGTCTGCTTGCTCACTGTTCCACCCGGACTGCTGAGCGCCTCCGTGTAGGGAGCGCTTCCTGGAGAGACGGGTGGAAGAGAGCGAGAAGCTGGAAGTTTCGGTGTCCCGTAGGGAGGGAGAAGATCCGGTGCTTCCGGGGTGTGATACTCCGGGAGAAGGGGAGCCTCGCTTTCTGCCCTGTCACGCGTGCTTTATAAGGAGAATCCCAGGCAGGCCTCATTAGGCCTCTGGTTCCGGGGGGTGGGGGTGGTCAGTTCCCTCACCTTGTAGGTGTGAGCAAAGTGCGTACTGTCGCCTGACCACATGGCCTCTCGTGTCCGTGTTAGAGTTTTGGCTCTCACGGCAAGCCTTAATCACCCCAGCCAGGGGGACTTACTCTGTCTTCCGAAGGGTATTAATCCACACTTGTCCTCGATGGCGGATCATGATATTTCCTGACCCTTTGCACGTCTGGGGACAGTACAGCGCAACACCTGCCCTCGGGCTCATGCAGGGAGGCTGCTCCCAGTTCAGGGCTCCTGCCTGACATTCCCTGAGAGTTCCTGGGACTAGCACCCTTGTCGCTCTCCTAGGAAACTCCGACTTCTGTGTGGTGGTATCAAGGCTGTGTTACGTGGGCAAAGGAAGTTGTTTTAGGTTTGCTCAGAGCATTGTCACGACGAGTTGGAGTGAGTTGGAGCAGCTGCCCCAGGGACATTGATTTTTCTTTAGACTCAGATAGCCACTTGAGGTGTGTGAGCAAGAGAAGAAAAATCAGGCTAGTTAGGTGCACCAGAGAAGAGCTCACCCATCCCCAAAGGAAATGAAGGTGTGAGCATGTGGACAGTGGGGGAGCATTTGGGACAAATAGTGTGTCGGAGCAGGAAGGAGACCAAGGTCCTGCATGTGAGCGGCACGGAGCCCTTGCCCGACAGAACCATTGTGGGACCTTTGCTCTTCTGAGTGTCTTGTGTTGTCTGTCTCCTTTGCTTATGTGAATGGTGGAGATTGAAGAATTTTATCCATCTACAGTCCGTTCAGGTGGTCAGTCAGTGTCTGGGACAGAGATGACAGTTGGGTCCCCCGTTATTTCCTGAATGTCCACGAAGGCAGGTACCTCGTCTTTCGTGTGCGGTTTCTGGAGAGCCTTCTGCGGATTGGGAACTGGAGCCTGCTGGTGGACGAAGCTGAGCTCGGCCTGTCAGCTTCTGTTCCTTTGCACGACGTTTCCTCCGCAGTGGACGTGTAAATAGACTCCGCCTTTCTGGCCTAACTCTCTCACACAGACGCGTTTCAAGTATGAATTAGTGAGTAAAATTGTGTTTGATTGGATTTGGGATACAGATGTTTGTCACATTCTCCCCTAGGTACCGACAGCCAAGGTTTCGGAGCTAAACCCTAATGCTAAAGTGTGGGGGACGCCGGTGCTCCACTTGGAAGCAGGCCCCGCAGCGGACGGCGGTGTGAGTGCCGACTGGGAGGAGCCGTCGGGCCCGTGCACGGACTGCGGCCAGGAGGGTGAGCTGTGGGCGTGACCGGGATGAGGAGAGCCTTTGCTCTCACGCTGTGGTCTTTGGTGTGGTCCTTGTTCCCGTTTACCCATCTGAAGGAATTGCTGACTGGGGCCCTGCCTGGTTCAGTCCGCAGAGCGTGCAGCTCTGGATCTCAGGACTGAGCTCAAGCCCCACATTGGGCGGGGAGCCTAGTTAACATAAAAAAAAAATTTGAGAAAAATTGTTAATTAAGATTTGTGTTGTGGTTATCGTACTGAAGAGCCAAGGGGTGCAAGTTACAGGAACGGAAGCAACTGCATCTGTAAGCTTTTATTTTGTTTTGTTTTAAAAGGAAGTTATTCTGATTTTGCGTTTTGGGATCAAATTCCTAATTACAGGGTTGGATGCCAATGGTGATGGTGACAAAAGTCGTGAGAATGTGGCGCTGTCGGATTTGCAGGCGTCAGACCAAACCGCTGTGAGCACTTTGGCTCTGGGTCGCTCGGAACATGAGTCTCCGCCGGAAGATAGCGAGACCGGTAAGGCTGTGTCATGAGCTCATTTTTATATAGAGTGTGAGCTTTTTCATTTTTAAAATTTAGCTTAAGTCTTTCTCCAAACACCGTGCCTTTCATTGGTTCCTTTGATTCTCCTTGAAATTCCCTCTTAAGTGGGTACGAGCTCTGTCAGGAAGGCGCCGCAGGGAGCGGTCCTGGAAGGTGGGTCTGGGTGGGTGGGGAGAAGCGGGAGGGGGACTGCAGGGCGAGGCGTCCGGGACAGTGCAGCGAGGGGCAGGGAGCGCTGGAGGCGAGACTCAGCCTGGGAGCTTGCTTCTTCATAAAAAGGGAGGGTGAGTGGAAGGCTGTTTGCAGAAGAGAAGGAGCGGGGGCAGGGGGAAGAGAGCAGTTGTCGTGGGGCCGGGATGTGGGCGGCCGTAGAACCACGTCAGGGAGATGGACGCGGCCGCGGCTGGCTCCCCTGCGAGTTGGTTCTGCGTCTGGAAGGCGAGCGCAGCCGGTGGGACGGGCGGCGGCTGCCTCAGAGCGGCTGATGGGGCCGTGGGAGCAGGACAGGTAACTCGCTGAAGGTGGCTGACGGGAATCACGCAGACCAGAGGCGCGGGGAGTGTGTCTGGTGTCCCAGGGGACGGGCGGAGCCACGCGCAAGCTCGAGAAGGCCCACCTTCCCGGCGACGCCGCGCGAGGCTTCCCAGGAGGCGGTGTGTTAACACGTTCCTGCACGTAGTGCTCACGCGCTTCCAGGGGACAGCAGTGCGTCCGTGGTGGTGTGTCCCCTGACAGGGCGAGCCCCGTGAACACCTTGCCTTCACCGTGGCCGCTGGCGCTCGTCTTCCCGCCCTCTCTTCCTCCCACCTCTGCCTGTGTCAGTTCTCCCTTCCTTCCTTCCGTCAGCTCTCTGCCTCCGGTGTGTCTGGTCCTGACCGGATTGACGGGGGCCGAACAAAACATGTAGTGTGCAATGCTGTCATTTTGCATTCGGGATCACAAACTCCCTGCGGTGCTGCCATGGAGCCCGGTGTGGCCGAGCTCCTGGACGGCCGTAGCGAGCCCTCTGTTTTCTCCTAGACCCTGGTGCTCTCCTCCTCCTCTTTCTTCGGGCTGTAGAGCTGTACACGGCCGTACAACAAGCATCTCGTGCTGGAAGTGGAGCCCAGCTTTTCTGTAGGTTTTATCTGCCCTGGTTTGGCGCACACGGTTGGGGGCATGATAGGGTTGATTTGCTGACTTCTACTCCCACTCTGTTCTCTGCGGTGTCTGGTAGGATGTGTATGTCCCTGCGACGCTGACCAGATCGTGGCACACCTGTCACTGCTGAAAGCTTCCTGGGCCCCTCCCTGCCCCGGGCAACCACTGATACAGGCTCTCTGTCACTCTGGGTTGGTTTGCATTTTCTAGAATTTTATGTACATGGATTTTTATGGCATGTGTGCTTTTTGTGAGGCTTCTTTTACTTGGTTTACTAACTTCGAGATTCACTCATGTTGTGACATTTGTAGGTCATTTTTCACTTTTTCTGAGCGCAGCGTTCCATTCCATCCTACGCCCCAGTTGGTTTTTCATTCACCTGCTGGTGAATATTTGGGTGTTTTCCGGTGTGGGGTGGGGCTCTTACCAATAAAGCTGTTATGAACACTTACAAGGCAGGACTTTGTATACATGTATGTTTTTGCTTCTCTTGGGGAAATACGTAAGAATGGAATCGATGATCACCTGGTAGGTTATCTTCTTAAGAAGCGGTGGGGCTGTGGTCTGTAGTGGTGCCGCTGTGAGCGCGGCCGCTGTAGAGTGAAGCCCCGGCCGTGCCACCTGATGTGATCGGTCCTTTAATTTCAGCCCTTCAGAAGGTGGTTGGATCGTACTGTAGTTTTAAGTTCTTTTTCCTAATGACTAATAGCGTCAACCATCTTTGACACACGCATTTACCATTTTGGTGAAGGGTCTGTTTGGGTGCTCTGCCCGTTTTCCCGCTGGGTGGTTACGCACTGAGTTTTGGGAGTTCTTTATATGTTTGTACACAAGTTCTTATCGGATTTATAATTGCAAATACATTCTCTCAGTCTGTGGCTTGTCTTTTGTTGTTCTGACATTATCTTTTGAAAATTAGACTAGACTACCTATAAAATTTAGTAGTCCAGTTTGCTTTTTTTTTTTTTTTTAAGATTTTATTTATTTATTTGACAGAGAGAGATTACAGGTAGGCAGAGAGGCAGGCAGAGAGAGAGGGAGAAGCAGGCTCCCCGCTGAGCAGAGAGCCCGATGTGGGGCTCGATCCCAGGACCCGGGAATCATGACCTGAGCCGAAGGCAGAGGCACAACCCACTGAGCCACCCAGGCGCCCCAGTCTAGATTTTTTTTTTTTTTTAAAATCAGGTTTTTTTTCTTTTATGGATCTTGCTTCTGGTTTTGTATCCAAGAAATCTGTGCTTAACGCAGAGTCACAAAGGTGTTCTCCCAGAAGTATAATTTTAAATTTTACATTTTTAAGGTCTGTGGCTCATTTTAAGTTAATTGTTGGATATAGTGTGAGGTACATCAGCAAAGTCTTTTTTTAATCACCATTTGCTGGAAAGACTCCCCCTTTTCGTTTGAGCTTTGTGTTGTCATCAGGATCATTTGTCCCTACATGTGTCTATTTATCTCTGGACTGTGTCTTTCCTTTCCACGCATCTGTTAAATCTGTTTTCACAACAGTGCCACACTGTTGGGATTACTGTAAGTAGTTCTTAAAAACAAGCAGTGTTAGCTTTCCAATTCTGTTCTTTTTCAGAATTATGTTGGCTATTCTAGTTCCTCCTTTTCATTTCCATACAGGTTACAATGACCTGGTCAGTGTCTATCTCCAAAGTGGTGAGATTTTATTGGGATTGCATTGAATCCATAGATCTCTTGGAGAAAAATGGCATTTAAAAAAAAATTTTTTTAAAGATTTTATTTATTTATTTATTGGACAGAGACAGAGATCACAAGTAGGCAGAGAGGCAGGCAGAGAGAGAGGGGGAAGCAGGCTCCCCGTTGAGCAGAGAGCCCGATGTGGGGGCCGATCCCAGGACTCCGAGATCACAACCCGAGCCGAAGGCAGAGGCTCAACCCACTGAGCCACCCAGGTGCCCCGAAAAAATGGCATTTTAGTGTGGTGCGCGTGAGCTGTTGTATGTCTACACCTGCTTAGGTCTTCCTTAATATCTCTTGGCTGTATTTTTTATTTTTCAGTGTCCTGGTCTTCCATGTCTTCTGTATTTAAATAATTATCCTTAAGTATTTCGTATTTTTGGGGGGCTGTTGTAAGTGATTTTTAAAAAATTTAATTTGAAATTATTATAGTATATAGAAATACAGTTAATTTTTGTAAATTGATGTTCTCTGGAAACATGTTAAGGTCACTTACTAGTTGGAACTTTTTTGTGGATTCCATATCTTTTACATAGACAGTCATGTTATCGTGAATACATTCAGCTTTATTTCTTATCCAATCTGATTCCCTTTTCTTTCATTCTTTCTTTCTGTCTTTCTTTCTTTTTTCTTTTGTCTTTCTGTCTGTCTTTGCCTCTAACTTCTTTGTCTTGCCTGATCTCCCTAGATAGAGCCTTCATTACAAAGGGGAACGGAGGGGTACCTGGATGGCTGAGTCAGTGGAGTGTGTGGCTCTTGATACGGGGTTGTGAGTTCCAGCTCCACGGTGAGTGTGGGGATGACTTTTAAAAACAGGCGAGCAGATCATGAGAGCAAACATCTGACTAATCGTAGGGGAGAGACATTGCATTTTACAGTAAGTGTAATGTTAGTTTTGGTTTTATGTACATGACCTTTATCAGGTTCATGAGGTGCCCTTCTGTTAGGCTTGCCGAGAGTTTATATAAGGAGGGTTGTTGGAATTTGTCATGCTTTTTCCTTCGTCGTGGCAATGATCATAATTTTTTCGTTTAGTCTTAGGATGATTTTTCATGTATTCAGTCCACCTCATATTCCTGCGGTAAGCGTCACTGGGTCATGATGTAACACACTTGATTTGTTGTTAGATTAGATTGGCCAGAATTTTGCATGGAATTTTTATACCTGTGTCCATGAGGGATGTTGGTCTGTAGTTTCTTTTCAGTGTATTCCCTCCTGTGCAGTTTGTTTTTGGGAAGAGGTTATTTCTTTTTTAAATGAAGAAGTGGAGCCATTTGGGCCTAGGGTTTTGTGTTAGGGTAAGTTTTCAGCTGTAGCTTTTGTTTGTTTTTAAGTAGGCTCCACACCTAGCCCGGAGGCCAGCACGGGGCTGAAAACCCACAACCGTGAGACCAAGACCTGAGCCAAAACCCTAAGTCAGACACCCAGTGGTCTGAGCCACCCAGGTGGCCCTACAGTTTGCTTTTTCATGTAGGGCTACTCAGGTTTTCTGTATCTTCCTGAGGGAGTTTTAGTTACTTGGGTCTTGTAAAGATTCAGTCCCCGTCATCTGAAGTGTCAACTCTGTTTCTTAGACTTGCTCCTAATGCTGTGTTGATTCGCCGTCTGTAGGATCTGCAGCTGTGTCACATAACTCCTTACTGTTATTGGTAATTCGTGTCTCTTTCCTCCCTGTAATAAATCCGTGTAGAGGTTCGTCAGTTTTGGTGGTCATCTGAAAGAACCAGTAGTTGGTTTAGTTGTTTTCCTCCATTGTTTTTCTCCTTCATCTTTCCTTGGTTTTCTTCTGATCTGTATGATCTAGTTTCTCTTGGTTACTTGGGGTTTACTTTTTTCCCTAGTGTCTTACAGTGGAAACGGAGCTCATTGATGAGAGGCATTTCTTCTTTTCTGAGGTAGCTGTTCACTTCTATAAGTCTCCGAAGTAGTCTGTTAGCCTCACAAATTCTGATACATAGTGGGTTTTTGAAAAAATGCAGTTCAGAATTATTTCTGATTTCTTTTTGAATTTTTTTTTCTTTGATCCAATGGTAATTTACAGGTCTGGTATTTAGTTTCCAAATATTTAGGGATTTTCCGGGAACCTTTCTTTTCTTGGTTTCTAATTTAATCTCCTTATAGTCATGGGA